TATATCCATTAGAGAATAAGAATCAAGGAGGGGATTCCAATGCTTTCAAGAGGAACATTAATCAGTGGTATTAATTAGCAGAAAATTATTTCACAATTACAGCCTTACAACTGCATTAAAGCTGCTTATTATAAGATCAATTAAACAATAAGAACTGGTGTTGATCTTTTTTGATATTATTTTTCCTTTTAAGTTGTCTGAAAGGTTATAACATCTACATAAGCCATTTTGGAAGAAAGGGAACAAATGCTTCAAATAAAATTAACAGCTGCATGGTATTTATTTTCCGTTTGAAAACATCTTAATAATTGTAGTGTTAGAGAGGGTGACAAGATATTTAAAATATATTATCCAACTTTTAGCCACCAGATAGTGACTAAACAGATAAGAAAACAAATCCTTGTACATAGGAAATGGAGAAGAAAATATATTGTTGTGAATACGAGAAAGGAACCTAAATTCTTTAAAAGAGAGTGGGAAAGTGGCAGAAAAGAATAAAAACAAATGAAAGACACTGAGAAAGAAACTTTGACAACAGAGAAACTGATTTGCTAATAGTTGTAGTGAAAGTTCCTGAAAATCTTGGAGAGCTGATGAAACTACCAGATCCGCCTAAAGTTGCAAGTGTGGCCTTGGAGGTTGGTTTTCTTTCTCCACAGAAAAACAATTTGAGCTGTTTTCAATGATGCAGCTACGTATATTTTAGATCAAGACTTGACAAGTATTAATGGGAGGTGGGAGTGAGGTGGTCTTTGGGATTAAGTACCAATTTGTAATAGAAAATAGCAATGTATTTTAAAAGAAAAATTTAAAACAAGTGTACAGAAATTGTGTACAGCAGGGGTGTCAAACTCAAGGCCCGGGGGCTGGATCTGGCCCGTTGGGTGCTTAGATCTGGCCTGCTGTTTCTAGGCCACCCTAGAAACAGCAAAGGACCAGCCGCAGTGCCTCTGCCAGTGAAAACGGAGCTTGGGAGGGCTGCATGTGGCCCTTCTGGGCTCCATTTTCAGCCGTGATGGCCTCCTTCCACCCTCTTGTCAGCGAAAATGGAACTCGGGGGAGGGGTGTTGGCTGTGCGTGGCCCTCCTGGGCTCTGTTTTCAGTTGCAATGGCTTCCTGCTGCCCTCTGTCAGCGAAAATGGAGCTCCAGGGGGCTACATGTGGCCCCCTCGAGCTCCATTCTCACTGGCAGAGAGCAGCAGGAGGCCGTTGTGGCTGAAATCAGAGCTCGGGAGCCTGTTTTCACTGGGAGAATGCTCAGGCCACAACAGACACCCGACACAAGTGACGTCAAGCTGGCCATGCCCACCCTGGCCACGCCCACCCCAGCCCTGGAGGTCAAACACAACCCTAATGTGGCCTTCAATGAAATCGAGTTTGACGGTCATGTGATTACATTTTGTGCACTTGGCAACTGACTTGCATTTACAATTGGTTGCATCCCATGGGCATGTAACTGTAATTCGTGACTTTTTTATTGGCGTCCAGCAAGAAAACACATTCAGAAGAATAGATTTGTTTAACAAGCATAAAATGATTGTAAAATCAAGTTGTGTAGTGACTCAACATACCAATGCAATCACTTGCAACCAAAATTCTAGTTCCAATTGTGATAGTAAATCAAGGACTACTTGTATTTTTAAAAGAATTAAGAAGTGGCAAGTGGTGGTAGACCTTGTGCTTCCTGGCACAATCCAGGTTGGCACAGAAATTGATGTTAGACCTTATTGCTTATTGCTGCCCAAATCACTTGGTGTCTTTGGGATCATTAAGAAGCTCCTTCCCCAGTACCATAGATTATTTTCCATAAATCAGATTCTCACATTTTTGCTAGTCTTGCCAAGTGATTCAGTGGTTAGAATGCAGTTTTGTAGGTTAATTCTGCTAATTGCCAACAGTTTGATTCTGACCGGCTCAAGGTTGACTCAGTCTTCCATCCTTCTGAGGTTGGTAAAATGAATACCCAGATTGTTGGGAGAAATATGCTGGTTCTGTAAACTGTTTAGAGAGGGCTGTAAAGCACTGTGAAGTGGCATATAAATCTAAGTGCTATAGCTATTACATTCATGAGCTCCATTAGTTTTTATTTTTTTATTTTTGAAAAGAGCCAGTTTAGTGTAGTGGTTAAGTCATCAGGCTAGAGACCATGAATTCTTATCCCACCTTAAGCACAAAGCCAGCTGAATGACTTTGGCCCAATCACTTTCTCTCATCCCTAGAAAGGAAGCAGTAGCAAACCACTTTTGAAAAAAACTTTTCCAGGCAGTCTCTCACAATAGGACATGATTGAATGGGGAAAAAAGGTCTAGTTCTGCATAACAAACTGTGTTTTTATTTTACTGCACTCTGCCCTATTAAACTTAACAGAGCATGTGAAAAGTCCCCAAAGCCTTGCTAGCAAGGGACTCCAGGTAGAATTATAAACGAGCAACATTCACTGTCCCTCCGTTTTTCCTTCATAAAGCACAACTTTGTGGGTTTAATCGGCAGGCAGGTTTGCCTGAGAAAAGAACATCCCTATGCTCTAAGATGTAACAAATTTTAAATGTTATCATTAAAACAGTATGTTGTGCCTAAAATAAAAACTGGAAGTCAGGACAGCCAAATTTACCAGCAAATCACAGCTATCTGTCAGAAAGGAGCCCGGATGGCACAGTGGTTAGAATGCAGCATTGAGGGCAAACTCTGCCCACAGTTCGGAGTTCAATCCTGATGGGACTCAAGGTTGACTCAGCCTTCCATCCTTCTGAGGGCAAAATGGTAAAATGAGGACCTATCTAGATTGTTGAGGGCAATATGCTGACGTAAACTGCCTAGAGAGTGCTGTAGTAAAGCACTAAGGGGCAGTATATATGTCTATTGCTATATTACTTCGAGATCCAACTGGTTTCTGGCCAATTTGTCAAGGCAACTCCACACAGAGTATATCCAAACAAGACACAACTAAGATTAGGTGTGGAATCTTCAAGAGGGGGTTCAATGGTTGAGATTCCAGACTATAGGGCAGGGTAACAAAAAGTGAAGCCCCTCCCTTCAGCATCCCCCAGAAAAACGTAAACATTTTTTTCATTTTTTGACAATTTTAGCAGACAAAATATTGATGCTTAAGGCACCAGTTTCATCAGTTAAAATTCTTGAAACCACCTTCCAAACCAGATGTTGGTTTTACTCATTTCTGGAGTATTTTCACATCATCGAAAATCCAATGCAGCCCCTGAGCCAACAGAAATTTAAATTCTTGTGGAGTAAGAGTGGTAGGAATGGTATTATAAGAAGACCCAAAGGTGCTTTCTCGGTTTTTTCTAAGAAAACAATTTGCTTCTCATCCAAGAAGCTTTTTGGATGAAGAAGTGAAACATTTTCAAAGAAAATAACCAAGAAAGTCCAGTTGCCTTTTGGAAAAAGCACCTTTGGGACAACCATGACCTGTCCTGGAAGATTGAGAATCTTCACAGATATTACAGGGAGAGGAATGAAGTACTATTCTACTCAGAAACGTATGTGTAAAGACAGAAAAGAGTATCAAGGCCAGCTCACAATAGCAGGACCTTCACTTTTCACTTAAATTGTGTCTTAACCAAAATCAGCAAGTGAAGCTTTGTAAAATTGGGAAATGTTCATTTAGACTTTATGTAGAATTAAACAACTTTCTCCAACCTTGTACCAAGGCATTATGGATCTTTTAGCCCACCATACCCAGAGGGCACCTGATTGGGGAAGTTTGAATTAGAGATCAACATCTTTCTATAATCTCTAAACACTGAGGTTACTAATGAAATATTTTCATGTTTTCAGACAGATTAATTCTGGCCAGTAATAGATGTTTGCAAGCTGTTCTTACAGCTATTTTTCAATTTATGCAAACCGAGGATGTATATCATCAATTAGAATAGTGCCTACTAGATGTATTATGAACCCATAATTTGTGAAATCTGTTGGAGTGGAGCTAATATGATGGACCATAGATATTGCTAATGGATGTTCTTCCAGCTGTATTGTTATTAGAGAATTATTATTATCAAAATGATTCATTAAATCTTCCAGAATGATGTAAGTTCTAGCCAGATTTGAGCAGTCTATTATTTGTGCAAGATGACACAGCCCCATTTGAAACTGAAACTGTCATGATGACCTAAGTCAAAAGAATAATTTCCAGGCAAACAATCTAATCATACCATATAAATCAGGGCTGTCAAACTCCCGGCCCGCGAGCCAAATGCATCACGTGCTGGCTCCGCCCCCGCTGAGTTTAGCGGAAAGGGAAAAAGTCCCGATATGTCATGTGACGTCGCAGTGATGATGCTAGTTTGACACCTCTGATATAAATTAATAGGAACTATAGCTGCTCATAACATCAAACAGGAATCTTATTGGAATTATGTTCTACTGTCACTAACTCTGGTCAGAATTTTAAATAGAATATGGCATACCATTTTTCACAGATTTATATCAGCTTGTTTGCAATAGTTATTTAGGAGAATTAAATTAATGTTGAATTTGGTCCAAAATAAGTTGCAATCTACAAGTTTAAAATCCTTCTAAAATGCCATTTGCATCTCCTCAGAGAAGTCCACCAGAGAGTCCTTTCAGCAGTTCCAAAAAGGCTCCACACCCATTTGTACTACTCAGGTGAACCCGAGGACACAGATAAACCTCCAAGTGCTTCAAGGACCCTCTAAAAGGAATTTCTAAAAGAATGCAACTGACCAGCTGTCTGCAAGGAATATAAATCCTTCCATTCCCCACCATCCAGTCAGAGCTGAAGAAGCTTCTTGGATGAGAAGCAAAATGTTTTCAAAGAAAAAACAAGAAAGTCCAGTTGCCTTTTGGAAAGCACCTTTGGGACAACCATGACCTGGATGACTGAGACTCTCCATAGACATCTCAGGGAATAACCAATCTGCATTTTATCAGAATAAAAACCTGTTACCTCCATTATTTTGTAACTAGAAGCAAAGAGCTTCCTAAGTATTCTATAAATGAAGCAGATGAGACTAGGATTTACATTTCTTTGAAAAATTCTTTTACAGTACATACAAAAATATTCTGCATACACTTTTTTTGTTTCAATTATAATTTTTTACAAAAGCAGATATTACAAAATTTAAGATTTGAAAACAGTATTTACTCCTGACATATCAGGCCATGGGCTCTGACGGAAACATGGGTCTGGAAGAGTCAAGTGATCTTCTAGAGGGAGACACCGATTCTAGTGAAGTTGTTCAGAAAACTACAGAAGTCAAACTTGAGTAAAAATCATGATTCCCAAATCCCAGTTCACAAAAGATTAAAGAGCACTCATTCACAAGGCAGGCCAAAATAGGGAAAATAATTTTCAGAACTTTCAACATGTGAGAAAAAAATGGATTGGATTGCGAATAATGGTTTTACGAGGCCCTCTAACAATTCTGAAATTCAAGTAATACACTAACCACTTTGCTTGCATTCCAGTATTGTTGAAGATATGAGTCTGTTCACATTTTTATTTATAGATTATCATGCAATCCAGCTAAACACTGAAGCCTGTTTCATTCCCATTGGTTTAAAATTGGAGTGCTGGATGTGTAGAGAGAAGCATCAAAGTTAAATTTATATCTGACTATTATAGGGCTTCAATGCAACTGAACAATGACTGAAATTGTGCTCTAGTTTTTGGGAGTCTCCAGGGGAAGCAGCTTTTTGGGGAACATCTACATATATCCCAAATGGATTGTTTTTTAAAGGAGAAGTACCTCCAATATATACACACATACTCCTGTGCATTTTTCCACTTTACAAGAACCCCTATGGTGACCTGCTACGCAGATCGCCAGCCAGCGTTGCGTACCATCGAGACTGGACGTGGGTTTTTGGGTTAAAACAACAGTGTTAAGAATATATTTAAGAGAGAGCTTCAGACTACCTGCACCCCTGTATTGAACTGACATTGATAACAATAGAAATACACCAGGGCAAAGTACTCTGCATGCCAAACCCTATAGGAAAAAATAAAGGCAAGACATTTTTTTTTTGGTTTTTCATAACAAAGACATTTCTGCTGAAAGAACAATACAAGATTTAAAATAAAACTATGCATTTGCACAGTGAAAATAAAGATCCAGTCCAAGGGAATGAAGTTTACACTAGGAGAATACCCACACACCACACATTTTGGAGGAATAGTAGTTTGAAATTATGACAGTGTTTGAAATTATAATAGTAGTTTGAAACTATGACAGTGTAACACCTGAAGAGAGAAATCTATAGAAGATTAAGCCATTTTAAACAAGGATGGATGCTATGCATAATGCCAATATTGTTCCACATAGCACTGCCTTGACGCCATCTTGGAGCAGTGATTCAGGAAGTTCCCAGTTCTGTTACAAGAGATCCAAGCCGGAGCCGATACGGACTAATATGCAAATCATAGGTTGTACCCTTTAGATGCTGTCTCTGTCTTCATTCTTTGAGTGTTGCTTTCTATTACAGTAGTATGGATCCAGTAACTTTAGGATGCCTTTTAACAGAAGAATATCATACAGAGTTGTTAATGAAAATATTTTTTCTTTTGAGTCAAAATTTCAAAATTATGCATTTCAAACTGAAACTTATTTATATTATTTTCTTTTAAATTATAAGGTTTGCGTATTGTTAAATTTATGCATACAGAAGGACCTGCATACATTTGTTGATTAAGTGTTTTTTTCTGGTGAGACTGGTCTATCAGAGCAACCTGGTCTACCCAATTATGGGACGGAGCATACTGCTTTGGTTTTGGCCCCAAATCCAGGAGCCTTCGCAAGCAGTCACTTTCGTGGCAAACTATTTTTGTTTGTTGCGAAAGCGACTGCCTGCAAAGGCAATAAATAAATAAATAAATAAATAAATAAATAAATAAATAAATAAATAAAATTACAGACCAATCTCTTTATGTTGCGTTACCTGCAAAAGTCATGGAATCAATCATTAACCAATCTATAACCCTCCACCTAGAGACAGGACAAAGCAATAGATGCAATTTACATAGACTTCTATAAAGCCTTTGATTCAGTGGTACACAACAAACTACTTCTAAAACTAAAGTCCTATGGCATTTCTGGACTCCTACATAAATTGATAGCTGCCTTCCTGTCAAACTGGACAACAAGTCATCAAAATAGGAAGCGCTCTATCAAATCCTGTACGGGTTAACAGGTGCATTAGCGCACCAGCATGCCTACCATCCCTGTCCTAATGTTTCTTTTTACTTGTATCCTTTTCATGTATTCAAATTATGTTTATACTTTTTTCTGTTATCTTACATATGCTTGACAAATAAAATAAATAAATAAATAAATAAATAAATAAATAAATAAATAAATAAAATGTCGTTGAGAAGGCATTATGCAACCTAAAATCATATCTTATCTATTGGCCCTGATGGATTATGTGCCTACTTCTTTGAAAAGCTCTCAACCACCATAACAGAACCTCTTAGCATAATTTATGAAATATCTTTCAGAACCAGCTCCTTACCTAATTTATGGTCACTAGCCACGGTCATCCCTATCTTCAAAAAGGATTACCCCAGCCTAGTTGAAAATAACAGACCAATCTCATTATGTTGGGTCACATGCAAAGTCATGGAATCAATCATAAACCAATCCATCACCCTCTACTTAAGAGACAAACAACCTACTCTCCAACAAGCAGTTTGGCTTCAGAAAAAAGTTGTCCTGCAATCTGCAACTCTTACACTGCAAAAACATATGCAACTGCAATCTGCCACTCTTACACTGCAACTCGACCAGGGAAAAGCAATAGATGCAATTTATAGACTTCTGTAAAGCCTTTGATTCAGTAGTACATGACAAACTACTTCTAAAACTAAAATCTTATGGCATTTCTGGATCCCTGCATAAATGGATAACCGCGTTCCTATCAAACAGGCAACAAGTAGTCAAAATAGGGAACACCCTATCAAACCCTGTACCTTTAACAGCAGTGTTCCCCAAGGAAGTGTTGTAGGCTCTTTATACTTTACATTAATAACCTTTGCGATCATATTATAAGCAACTGCGTTCTCTTCATTGATGATGTAAAACTATTCAACACCACCGACAATGCTGCTACCCTTCAAAAAGACCTTGACTTTGTGTCGGAATGGTCAAACAATTGGCAACTCCAAATCTCAACCAACAAATGCTCTGTCTGACACATTGGCAAAAAAAATCGGAACACAAAATACAATCTGGGCGTATATGACCTCGTAGACGACCCTCACTCTGTCAAGGACCTTGGATATTCATCTCAAACGATCTAAGTGCCAGAGCTCACTGTAACAGCATTGCCAAAAAGGCATTAAAAGTTGTTAACCTAATCTTGCGTAGCTTCTTCTCTGGTAATATTGTACTACTAACTAGAGCATACAAAACATTTGCTAGACCAATTCTCGAATACAGCTCATCTGTCTGGAACCTGCACTGCATATCGGACATTAATACAATTGAGCGAGTCCAGAGATATTTCATGAGAAGAGCCCTCCATTCCTCTACCTGCAATAGGATATCTTATGTCTTCCTTTATTTCTTTGTCGGTAAAACATAAATTCAACACATTTGCTGATTGTTGCTATACTCTCATTTTGTAATCTAGTGCCTTCCAGATATAGGGACACTGGTTAGAAATTTTGGGAATTACTGTCTCTACACAGTTGATGAATATAAAGTGAGAAATTATGTTCCATACTTTGACAACTGTGCATGGTATCTACAAAAATTTTCAATTAAATATAATCAGGATTCCTCTCAGTACAGCACAGTGTAGCTGGAATTTTGCATACACGATGGAAGTCTTCTTTCTCACCCATCTTTGTAGATCGAGTTGGAAAAATTAAATAAGAGAAAAAGGGGAACTAATTCTAGTACTAGATAATTCTGATAGAAAGCTGGTGTGGATCAGGGCACCTTTTCTGTGAGTTAAAAAAAGTTAATAAATGGTTGCAGGTACATCAAAGTTCAAAAGTGAAGCATGAGCGTAAGAGCAACAATTGAAACAAAGTAGAAAGCAATAGTTATTAAAATGCAATGCCTTTACTATTACCTGGTAAAGCACTGCTATCGATTAAGAGTCAGTCTGATGGAGTTTTTAACAACACGAACCATACCACTTGCTGGAATTGGAGAAGATGAATCTGGCAATTCTTTACTAGAAAGCCGCTGCAAATGAAAACTAAAATCAGATGAGGGAAGCAAGATTCCAGAAATATGAGTACAAGCCTAGATCAAAGCAAAATCTGACATCAATCCTACTGCTAAGAGATGTGTCATCTCCAGCTGCTCAGCTTTCTTTTACTGCTACTGAAAGGAGATGGTTGAGTTAAAGCTTTTAATTTATAAGCCAATCTGGAAGTCTTTGCAGATGGGTGGCAACCCCTAAAAATTAGAATAATGTACAAATTATATATTAAGTATAGGCAATACTTCAGATTTGATAAAAGAGATACTTCAGAAAGCACATGAACTGTGAGCTTCCTGCTGCAGCCTCATAATCTGAGATCAGGATTATCTTTTAGTAACTCAGAGATGGGTGTTGTGTACTCTGAAACACCTCTTCTCACTCAAATCTAAGATCTTGTACAGTCCTGTTATATTTAGTGTCATTTCAGTGAGAGCAAATTACAAAGCATGTAGATGTATTACAGAACACAAAAATAAAATGAAAGCCACATAAATATTAAAAGTCTTCCAGAAATCAGTTATTATCTCCAATTTTGTTTCAAATACAAATGTTTACTTAATACCTGTGATCTTTGTGTATCAAAGGTTGGAAGAGTCAGGGTGTCTTTAAGGCTGTGCTAAAAGGAAGAAAAGCATAAGTTGTGGTCAAAATGCAAGTACCACTGGGCCACAGGCAGCAGGTACAAGCCATATTGACATCACATACATCATGATGTCATTGTACAAATGATGTAATGAATTGCAGCGTTCAATTTATCTCACCACTTACTCTGACAAATGAAACTTGTACAAAGTAATGTAGTGTTTCCCTTCCTTCCCATCTCTGAGTCTTGACACTAATGTCTAGTTTAATATTATAACAGAGCTGAATTTGGATAAAATACACCAAATTATTGAAAGCTATGTAATGCCAGGTTTAGCCCTTCATTTCACACATCGAAGACTCAACAAATTACAAACAATCATGCTGTCATGCAACACATCATTCTGGCTTTTCATTCATTCCTTATTTCACTTCATTCCCCAATACTAACTAAGATAATAGTTCAAAAGGCAGGAACGTCTCCTGAATGTATTGCCAGGAAACAAACTCAATTTGTTTGATATAAATTATACAACAATTAAATTAGCTATAAACCCCACAGGTGGTGAGTAGGCGTTGGGGGGAAAGAGAAAGAACATTACTTATGCCCATTAAAGAGCTATTACTACTAAGATCTTCACCCTTATTAAAGTCTGAGCCAATTTGGGTATTTTTCCCCAAGAGATCACAATCTCTATTTATAGTTATTCCAAAAGTAACTTTCACTTAGTTTGAAGCTGTAGTGCTCAGGGGAGTTTTGTTATCAGTCATGTAACCGTGTCCTCTTTAACAATCAATTTTAACACTCATGCTGCATTGGAATTTATGTACAGAGACACTTACCTTGTCTACATCTTTCAGCCGCTTAAAACAATCTTCAGAGATTGGTGAGTGATCTCTCTTATGTGCAGAGTTATTTTTAATAGAATTTACGCCATCTAGGTGTCCCTGGGAATGAGTAGAAGCAAGGATGATAGTTGGAGGAATTTTATTTTGCTCTATGGCCATGGAGACACTACTGGAACTTAAAGGCAGAGTTCTGTCTGCTGAAGCTGTAAGATTCAAGTCTGCAAATTGGAGTAACGTTAAGTTTTAATTAATGGTCCTAAAAAAGAATACTAGTTAATTTTGAAGTTAGTACATACAAGAGCCACTACCTGGTACAGACATCGTTGACTGAGTGATGGTCCATGGTTTCTCTTGCCTTTCACATATAGTGGGTTTTTGAAGGACATCAGGCCTGTGAAAAGCAGCACTGATTAAGAAACATTTCATGGAGATGAGGAGACATTATGATAAAAGCCTTCCATAATAACATGGGGAAATGGTTGGGAATGACTTAATCAATAGATGAGAATTGAGGAGAATGACAATTGGAGTGTATCTATTTAGAAAAAGTCTATTTGAGATACATGGTTTAAGAGTAAGTCTATTTATAAGCACATATAGAAAAGGAGTCAATGAAGAAACCTGATTATTTATGATGAAAAACTGAGGGAACTCATTAGGGAAATTCTGTATGATTTAAAAAAAGAAAATTTGGAAGCAGCTTGGAAAAGAGAAAAATATTATGTTACACATGTCATCAAAGTCTATGGAGATATGTTAATGAAAACATGTAAAGGGATGCTTGGTAGAATGATGATGGGAAAGAGGCTGTGAAGAAAAATGAATTACTGCAAACATAAGGATAAAGAAAGATAAAGTCTATAGAAAAACAAAGATAGCTGAAAAGAATGAGGTTAAAATGAGGTTGTGGCTAAGATTAAAAGAGAAAGAAAAATGCTTAATGATTTTAATGGAAACAAATTGCTTGAGTGAATGAAGAGGGCTAAATAAGGAGCCTCCAACAGTCACCAGAATTAAAAATAAAAGTAATGAGACTATTGAGTGAAAGTATTTATGGAACAAAATGAGGGAATGTTGTTAGAAGCATTTCAGAGATCTTTATGAGAAATTGTGCTCTTTTCAAAAGTAAAAGTAGCAAAAGTAAACACAAGAATTACCTGGGATAATTTTTTAAAGTGGGATTGCCAGAGTGTCTGACAGAAATTTGAGCAAAAAGATGCAAGAAATACCAGTAATCATGAGCAAAAGTTTGGGAAATGTGGTACTTTATTGAAGGCAATGGATAATTGGATCAGGTTTTACTTTTTAGCAAGCTTCTGGGAAGCCTGTTCTCCTTTGCTACCAACATAACATAAGCTGGCTCAGGAATGGGCAAATCACACTTTGTGGGACCATGATTTTGCAGAGCAGCTTTTCTGCTGCTTTTTTTTGTATTTTGCAAAATAGAGGTGCTTTAAATCTTTGTTTTGCACCCCTTCTGCCCTAAATCCTACTAAATCCCTCAAAGCACAGGCTGAACATTGTTTTCTTCTATTTTGGTGGTATACATATCTTGTATCATTCTGGCCAAGGTCTAAAAAAATCATACTGTTGTGGCCTGTTGGCCGCCAGCCCCTCCAGCAGCCAAATCAGAGGAGAAGGTGGAGGCATGGGAGTCAGGGTCAGCATCAGGGCATCCTGGGAGCTCTGAGGGGGAAGAGGAAATGGAGCTGTCAGAGAGAGACAGAGGTGGAGTCTGGGCCATCCATCAGCCCTCAGATGGAGAGTGAAGAGCCACCAGGTCTGGAGGCGGTTGATGAAGAAGAAGAGGAACAGCTGGGTCCAGTGCCTGACGTGCGACTGCGCAGAAGGCAGAGAAGAGGAGAGCAGTGGAAAACCGTGGGCCAATCCTGGGGAAGGAAGAGCCACCGCTGCTAGCGAGGCCCACCCTAGCTCTGGGGATAAAAGGCAGGGGGTGGAGATGATAGGTAAGGTAGACAACTATTCATCTTCCGGCTGTCCGGACTTTCAGCCTGGGAGAAAAACTTTTTGCTGGGGCTGCTGGCATTCCTAATAAAGGAATCTTCTGAGTTCACGTCAGAGGGTTTGTCATGTTTGGGGAGCTGGGCCAGAACACATACAAATACCCATAGAAATTATTTATTGCTCACATCTTAGAAGTAATACTGATGTTACCCATATGACAGACACTTGACACTGCCACACAACACCTACCTTTCTATCCCTTTTGAAAAAGATTTACTGCAATATTCCATCACATTATTGAATGAGGAAACAGTACTGCACTGTGTGGTAACTTCTGCACTGCTGTAAGTGTCCAAACCACTATCATTTTCCATTGTCTTTTTCAACACGACCCCACAAGCATGTCCACCAAGATCAGGCACGCTCTGTTGAGATAATTCCAGTTTATAAATACCCAGATCTGTAAATGAAGTATTGTCAGAAAAACCAAAGTTTGGGCCAACCTTTTTCCTCTTCTGAAAGAAATATGCTGGCAAATAAAAATGGAGTTGTTTCTTCCTCACATGAGTAGCTTCAATCTTCATGCCTTCTTTCAACATGTTGATATTGTTTGCCTGCCTATAAACTAAGATCAAAGATGACAAAGTCAAGAAGTTATCCAATAACTCAAGCAACTTTGATCAGCCTTTAACCTGCTGTCCTGTTGCTGTTGGAACAAGCTTCCCTGTCCATAAATCATATATCAGATTGGGTACTACAATATTATCATTCTATCTTTAGGTAATGAAATGAAGCATTCTGTCACATGATCAGTGAACAGAAATAAAGAAAATTATCTAATCCAGTTTATTTTTTGCAGTACATATGCATTATAAGTCCTGATACTTCAGCTCCTGAAGATTCTTAGGTTGTCTAATGGTCTGTCTTACCAGTAGACTTAATTTTACAAGCAGGGTAAATTAAAATAGGGGGAACCTAGGGATACAAGCACAATCTTTTTTTTCTTCTGGAATCTGATTCTTAATCAGCACTATCCCTTCTGAAATGAAATGAAAGCCTAATTAAATTAAGCATCAATCTTTTTTAGTTTATTAGTTTGATCATGCAATGAAATACTGAGGTATTCGTCTATATAAGTATCATTATATGGGAACTAGTGTATTAGAAACTAGATTTTATAACACAACAATGGCCAGCTGGTTTATTGTCGTCATTAAAGTAATATAAAATTATTACATGTTTTCTAATAAAGAGCTTACATAACTTAAAACCAGACCTTGTCCAAGAAAAAAATAAATTAATAAAAGAGGAACTGATTTCCCTTCCTACAGAAATCTATCTTATACAATTAGAATAGTATATATATGTGTGTGTGTGTGTGTGTGTGTGTGTGTGTGTACACACACACACACACACTATTTTAATTCTAATTATATAAGATAGATTTCTGTAGGAAGGGAAATAGTATATATACATACACACACACACACACACACACACACACACACACACACACACACACACACACACATATATGTTTAGCTACACAACTTCTGTAGTCATACAATCTCATTTTGGGCACTTGGCAACCAGCTTGCATTTATAACCAGTTGCAGCATCCCATGGTCACACAATCATGCTTTGTACTGTTTTTTGTTATTTTCTGGTAAAAAAATAAACTAGATTTTGTCTTACATCCATGTGATTCACTCAATGACCATCATAAAAACAACTGTAAAATCTAGTCTGGTCACGTGGTGAATCAATTTACAACTGCAATGACGACCAGGCTCAATTGTGGCCATAAATCAAGGACTACCTATATTTTAATATCCAGAAATAAATTTCCTAGTCTGTATAGAGTCAGAGGCAATGGCATGCTGATAATTAATAACTGACTCTGAATACCCCATACCTACTGCCACATTGCTATTCACTGAACAGCTGATCAGTGTGTCAGATTGGAGGCTCATCTTTGGTCTCAAGTGGCTTGCAAAATTCCAGAAAATTTAACAATCAACAATTGTTAAACTGCTATGAGAAAGCTCCAACACATTACTGGGCAGAGGGCTCCACTTTGGAAAACATATAATATGATTGTGAGTTTTGGCTTTTTCTTTCTTTCCAATGAATACAAACCTAAGTTGCTTACAGCAATGTTCAGCTTTCAAAAATAGCTTCTGCAGCATTTTCTAGGCTGACTACATTTCACAAGGCACTTTTCATCTCTAAATAAAACCCTCATATATTTTGAAAAGTGAGCCTATTTTTCTTCCTCTGGGGAAGGACAAGTCCTAATTGGACTTGTGTGAACATGTATCCAGGGGAGTCCATTGTAAAGCTATTTAATTCTAATGGTAAAACCAACTACAGAATCTAATTAAATTCCAAGAACACAGCTTGGAAAGATAAATGTTTCACTACAACATAGTTAAGAGAAACTCCCATTGATTATACTGAACTTTACACTATTGCCAATAATTCCAACGCTTTAGGGAGCAGATTCCTCTAAAAGTAGGTTCAATATAGATAAAATGATGTGATTAAAAAGTGAGCAAAGCATGTGTTCTTTTGCAATCAAGAAATCAGGATTGTATTAGTCCAATAGACTTTAAAGGAATTTAAAAAATAGTAAATCTTTGAAAAAAACCACGTATTTAAAGGAGAAATTTACTTCAGCACAAATTATGCTTCATTTTCTTTTCTTCAATCTTCTCTGTGGCCATATTGATGTATTGTTGTAAGCCGTCCATAGTCATTTAGGTGTGATGGGAGGTATACAAATTTAATGTGTAAATATTCCTTTTCTCATTTTTATAAGCCATCTCATTATGGATGACATTTCACTTGGTTGCCCAGATGTCAGAGGCACTAATGTACACTAAAGTGAAGTATCCATCTGAAATAATATTGGTCTACTTTTAAGGGGAAAAAGTTTACCTGTATCTGTGAATGACTGGATATCATAGGTTAAGTCAATGCTTACACTCTCTGTGTTCTCCAGTTTCTTAAAAATTATTCCCAGAAACCACATTGACACATAATCACTTCTAGAGGGAGACACACAAAAAAAAACATATTATCAAATAATCCAATGCCAGAAGTGTTGTGGGTAAGATCTAAATGCAAATTACTTATGCATTAGACTGATTTCCTTGCAGATTCAGATGTCAACATAATAACGAACATTATATGTTACAAAGAAATTACGGACTTTGCAATGGAGAAAAGTTTTGATTTTTATTATTCTAATGAAGAGAAAACAATGTGTTGGGACCTATGGACTTTATGGAGTGCTCAGCTGGGCTGGACATGCATACCAACTGCATACACATATACGTACATGCCCACATTTATATAAATTCACACATAACTGGACAAAAGAGAGAGAAAAAAACTCAGGCATAAAATCTCTCTCTCTAACCCATAGTATGCTCATTGGAAAAAAGAAAATGAATATTCCCCATCTCACTTTTAATCTAACGAAGTCAAATGGCGAGAGAAGGTTTTACCAAAATAACTGCCATTTTACATTTATTCTTTCTCTACTTGTTTCCTTGCTTTCACACTATTAATTTTCTGGAAGGCCCTGCTTCTATAATGCACAAATAATGATGGAGCTCACACCCTTCACAAACTCTCCTAGAAGCTCTGGTGTCTGCACTGGGAGTCTTCCTTGACTTGGAGTTAGCAGGAATAGGGCTCTCAAAAAATTTGCACCACAGTTGCACCACAGAGAAGTCTGGAGAAGGCATGCAACATCATATTAAATCCCCTCAAGGGTTGAATGAGGCTGAATGAAGTTGAATGTTGTAGGTTCCATACTCCTTTGGCACTTATTATGGGAACCAGGAATATAGTCAGCCAGGAAGAAGCTGAAGTATTTTCTCATCAGATTCTACTGCAAAACAGCCTGTCTACCTCTATCCTTACCTGGCTAGGCAGATACAAAAAGAGGGAAATGTGCAAAGGCAAGTTCAAAGTAAGCAACTTTATTTGCATCAGTTAGTCCTTCCTTGCAAATACTCTCCTCCATGCTTTTATTCCTTTAGGCCATATGCATTTATAAACCCAATACTTTACATTCTAATCCCATTGAATAGACAAAAATCAGCAATATTACATATTTTAAAAATCCAAACTTCCTTTGAGTTATACTTTATTAGGCAATTCAAGATTATAAAACATGTACATTTTCCAGTCACTAGGAATTATCACCAGGAATTATGGTTTAAAAGAAAATAAGAGAGAAATAGCATGTGTCACTGATATTAAAGCTAACTCTGTGTTAATAAAAGTAGGTATGGCTCCTTTTCCGAGGGTGCCCTCACCTCTTGAGATCTGGAGGGCCTTTACCCTAGTAGTCCTTCAGGAGGGCTATGAAAACCTCACACTGGGCAAAGATCAAAGGGAGCCCAAGCAAATATAAATGTAAAGTAAGTAGGTGGTTTTGGTGCTATGATTTGGCTATATGGTGTTGCTTTGGGGTTCAGTTGGTTTTATTTCTTCTCTTTTTAATGAATATCATTGTGAACTGCCTAGGATTTTCATGTATAAGATAGGCAGCCATATAAGTTTTATATAGAAATAAAACAAATAGATAACTGAAAGTGTGCTTGGGTGAATCTAGGGCTCCCTCAAAGTTTGCTGAGAAGAATAATTAAAATTATTTGACCCAAAGGTGCTTTTCAAAAGGCAACTGAACTTTATTCAGAACTGAAGACGGTTCTTGGATGAAAAGCTAAATGTCTTCAAGTAAAAAAAAAAACAACCAACCCAAAGAAAGTCCAGTTGTCTTTTGAAAAGTACCTTTGGGACAACCATGATCTGGATGACTGAGAATATCCATAGATATAAAACAATTTGATAAAATATAAAATCCAACAGTTAACAATGGTGTACCTTAAAGGCTTCAAATCGATTGTGACACAGATCATCTTTATGCTACAAAAGGCTAAAGGTGCCTCCCATATAAGCAACATTATCATGTGCCTGCCATATTTTCCCAGTGCTTATTTTGTCTCATTATCCAAGGAAACAACTGAAGATGGAAAGACAGACAAGCCATACAAAGTTTTCTAACTAGCAGTGTTAGCCTCTCTTTAAAAGCAGACATCAATGCAACACAATACAATAGCGTTGACATTAACTCACTCTTTGTACTGATCCCTGTTCCCACTGAAGGACTGTGGATTTACATGGACGAGAGTAATAAATTCATTTCTCTCCAAGTGTCCAACAAGCACACGGATTTTAGACTCCACCAAACCAACCCTACAGAGAGAAAATCAGCCTTGGTTAGCAATGTGTCAGAATGCCAAGAACTATCAACTACCTTTGGAAATATGGCACCATGCAATTTGAAGGCACAATGCATGAAACACAAGAGAGAGATTTAATATTGGAAAATATTGTCATCCCCGCCCCCCCCCGCATTTATAATTCCTTACATCCACAGAATGAATGCTTGCTTATTTCAGAAATAAAAATATCCATCACAAGTTTGAAACACACAAAAATAAAAATCAGTAAATTAAAAAGCACCAGATAATTAGCACAACAAAACGCTCAGTGTCACATAGCAGCTACAGTTAGACTTGGAGAAAAACGCTGATACTGATTTAGGAGGTAACATCATCTCCTTTTTTAAAGGATTAAGTTTATATATTGTCCCTCAGAGTTAAAGTAGTCTTTGGATCCACATTGCATTTCTTCAGGTTGAGATCATAATACATAATCAACCAGAGCTAATCTGATAATTTCTTGGGCTGCAAAATGTATGCTTTCTGAAAGAGTTTAAATATTTAGAAATACTGCAAATCAGTTGGAGTATAAAGAACAGAAAAATTATCTACTTTTCCAAATAGCTTTTGTATTTTTTACTTTTTAATATTCATAAACAATAAATGCATATATTATATGCATTACAAAATGTATATAATAAAATTATTTGCACACTGTAGAAAAGTCTTTTATTGATAATTGCTCTGGGGTCATTTGATCTTAATATGCATGTGCTACTTCCCGCTTCAAGAGTGTTGTGAGTGGAACTTAAAAGCCGTTTTTCATTTTTAAAGGTTATCAGGAATCAGGTTACACCGCAGTATTTCACCCACAAGAACCAAACTGAATATGTTAAGCTCTTCCTCAAATGATCCATTGAGGATCATGATCTCAGTGAGTCTTGCTGTCTATTTTTTTCAGTATTTTCAATTTAAATTTCCCACATGCACTAAGCTTGTTTAAAATCTATGTTGTGCATTTTCCTTTGTTAATTTATTTTATGCTTTATTTTACTATCCATCCATCCATCCATCCATCCATCCATCTTACTAAACTGTCCATCTCAGACAAGTAATTCTGGCAGTGAACAATCATAAAAAAATTAAAAACAATTACAGTATAGTATAAAGTTAAAGATGTGTGGCATCTAAATAAATGACTACATTGACATTATCATAAATGTCAATGTAATCAGGAAATTTAGGGCTCTAAGTCCTTCACACACTTAGAGCCCCAAACCATGGCCTAAAGCCAGGTCTTCCAAGGCCTATCAAAGGACAACAGGTTGCGGTCATCCTCAACTCTGAAGGGAGAAAATTCCAGGAACAGGAATATTTTTATCTTGCTTTTATGCTTTCACAACGAGAACAAGAAAATATAAGAGGGCAACTTTGCATTATTAACTACAGCAAGACCTTTGACTAAAAAGTTCATGCCAGAATGTGGAACTCATGGTGTGTCAGAACAGCTGATTATTCTTCTCAGGAACATTTACAATTAACAAGAAGCTATTATGAGTGGAAATATAGCATCTCAGTATATGGAAGGAAGTAAAACAAGGATGAATATTGTTTAACTATCTCAACAAATATAAGAATGGCAAGATTCTAAAGATGACAACTGGAACCAAAACTGGAAGTTGAAACTCTTGACAGTCTGAGATACATAGACAAACAAGCTTGTTAGCTGAATGTAAAGAGCTGTCATGAACAAAAATGAAAAATGTGGATTTGTGCCAATTATTAAAATGACAGTGTCAACTAGCATTAGTGAATTTACAATTGAAAATGAAGAAGTGATTGGGGTGCATAGTTTTATTTTCTTTGACTTAAAAATGAAGATGGATAGTTAACCAAAAAATAAAGAGGATGTTAATTGTAGGATGCACTGTGTTAAGCAAGATCGGAAAGGATTATGATACTCTTAAAATGAAGATCAGAATATTTAAAGCAAGGTTCTTCTCAGTGGTGATGTATATTTGTGAAAGCTGAACATTGAAAAAAAGTTAACACCTTAGAATCATAAACCTGGGGATGTTGACTAAGAATGTTGGTATCTGGACCCATTAAAACAAAAATAAATGCCAGGGACATAGGAAGCAGGATTTTGTTGCTCTGTCATAATTTTTCTGATAAGATTCAGGATGAATGAATTGAATCAACAAATAAAGCCAAAGAGCACTTACACCTTGAAAAGTTCAAAGAATCCATTAAGTTGAACCATAACAATCTGCCAGCAGGAACAAAGACAGGCAGAGCTACAAGAGTTCACTGTTAACAGTCCGCTATTTGATCACTAGAGAATTCCAGGAGGCAGCTTGAAAGAGTCCAAATGCAGAGCAAGGGTGACAAGAATGCAGGTCAAGTTTTTCCAGTAGGTGACTTTTTTTCCAATGGAGTTCTTATATAATCCCAGTGTTAATGTGACTGCATTAACAATGTTATCATCCTCTCTTCTCAAGGAGGCATACTACAATATTTGCCTTTGCTCAGTCCTTTGCAGCTACCACTTGTTCTTGAGGGAGGCATCCTACCAGAACCTGGCCCCTGGGTCTTCCTTGTTAAAGCTCATTGTCTCTCAAAACTACTGTAGATGCTAATTACTTTTTGATCCTTCAAGCTGCTGGTCTGTCTCTTTAGTTTCTGACTCAGGGATTCAGACAAGACCATAATAACCCCAGACAGCAAGAGGAATCAATTAGTCCAACTGGATTAATTATTATTTACTCCCTTGAGATGATGTATAAAGTCATATTTGAGGCATGCAATGTGAACATATGATAGACTATTAAAAACAACTATTTTGATTGAAGAGAAGAGGAGAATGAATAAAGAGGATGTGATGGCACAGTGCTTAGAGTGCAGTACTGCAGGCTACTTCTGCTGCCTGCCGGCTGCCTGCAATTTAGCAGTTTGAATCTCACCAGGATCAAGGTTGACTCAGCCTTCCATCCTTCCGAGGTGGGTAAAATGAGGACCCAGATTGTTGGGGGCAATATGCTGACTCTGTAAACTGCTTAGAGAAGGCTGTAAAGCACTGTGAATCGGTATATAAGTCTAAATGCTATTGCTATAATCAGGATCAGAGACGTCATTGGAATGCCTTTGAAAGAATTATGGGTTCTCACTGGAGACAATCAAAATGGAGGCATTTGTGCTAGTCACCAGGATCTTAGCCCAGCAAAAAACAACAACTATCTCTATTCAAACCTGTTCTCCAATTGTTTGTATTTGTTTATTGCAAACTAAATTTTATTATGGGATGACATGTAACAATTGATTTTTTTTAATGCAGACTGTGTTTATATACTAGGAAAAGCCATAGTTGGTTAAATAAATCATAACTGGCTTGGCTGTACGTAGTATACCTATCCATGAATTATGAGCTATGAACCATAATGGATAGTTTCAAACAATGTGTTAAGCCAAAGCAAGCAAACCACATTATGGCTTTTATAATCATAAGATAGTGTGGTTTGAAATTGGACTGACTTGATATTAGACAGGAATTATACTATGGGTGGGCCTACAACTGGGCACATCCTGCAACTCTCTTGATGTGGTTGTGTGCAGAGAATTTAGCACTGAGAATTTTAGCTTTTTTCAATGTTTTTATCCCTTCATGCATGTAGACACATCTGCAATTATGTGGTTAAGGCTTGTCAAAATATAGAAGTCAGAGCAAGTGGTTAAATAAATTGAAATCTTAAAATAACCTGAGTAATTTGCAAAAAAAATTATACAGAATAGATGAGTTTATGTTGATTTTTCTGCTCATACATTGTAAATAATATTACCATATTATTAATTTGGATGCTTGAATGCAAGTTGATTTGGAAAATAAATCTTACTGTTCCTAATGAAGACTCTGAGGGAAATACATTTTTCCCCAATTCCTTTTTGAAATGCTTTTGATTTTAAAATTAGGTTTATTATCAGCATTTAAAAAATAGGCTTACCATTCCAAATGATGTTCTTCAGTTGAAGAAACAGCAGTCAATACAATATAGTGTCTGGAAAAATAAAGAACTAAAATTTGATATATTTAATAGTTTTAGTTTTAAAACTAAACTATTAAACTATTAAAACTACTGTTAAACTATTTAAAACTGTACTGCTCAGTCTTCAATTCTTGTTAACTTACTTTATAACACTGTCTCTTCTAAAAGCTTCCCTAACCTTGAAGTATATTGATGTGCTTCTCCCACATTAATTCTCCCTCATGTGTAAGGCTAAGGAGGCTTCGGCATCAGTCAAGAGTGGTAGAAGAGCTTGTTTTAAGCAAGACAGTTTATCAAAAATGGAAACTGGAACAAAAGATACTTGATTGACATAGAGGTGAATGCCTAGTACAAATTCATGATTCCTATTACAGGAAATACAGTATAGGGAGCAGTTGAAAGAGTAACCAATTCTTGTTTTAGACATTATATAATATTGATAACCCAAGTGCATGTAATATTCATATTAGCAGGATAATATTCGGTACTCTATTTGAAGAAAGCAGCTTGCTCTATTAGCCAACATGCCACTGCCACAACCATCCAACACTTGTTACCCAAAGAATTGCCTTACTTTATGTAATGATAAAGCTGGCTTTGGGTGCAGCTGTTTGCAGTTGCATTGCAAGATTAATTAAATTGTTTGGGCACAGATTATATTCTCCAACTTTGGTAACATTTGTACCATATCACAGGCTGACTACAGGATAATCCAATGCATTTCAAAAATAACAAATAAATATTAAAATTAATAAGGAGTCACTACTGCAAATATATTTCCTAACAATGTTGAATTCCCTACCCTATCCAGCTATCACTAAGCACATTACTACTGCACCCAGATTTCTTTGATCCAACACATTCAAATTAGTTTTAGTTTTTTAAAAATATGCTGTATTTCCATTGTTGTTATTTTAGTATATGCTTTTACCCATAAGATGCTTAGGATGCATTGCTAGCTAAAATACAGCATATTTAGTTGCTGAAATGTGAATTCTGAAACCTTTGGTGATCTTACATACTTATACTTTTGAAAAAAGTTGGGTGGCTCAAGCAGCTTTGGCCAGTCCGACTTTCCTTGAAGAATTTCATCTGTAACCATGAGACCTGTTTAAATATAACACACCTATAGTAAGTGCTTTACAATAAACAGTTATAAGTTCAGAAGTATCGGTTCCACAAAGGCTATTGAGACTAAGAATAATAGGAGTTCTAAATCATAACAAACCTCATCAAGAACTTTCCTTAACCTCCAGTATCCCATTGTTTTTTCTAGTTGTGCCCATTCTAATACTCTTCCCATTGGGGTAGATTATAAATAGTTCCACATTTTCATCTCAATCTTTTCTATTTTTAGAACTGGCATCCTATCCCTAAACTACACAGGAACACTTTGTATCTCATCTTGGATACTCACTAGTGATAAATGGATGTTATCAGAAATAAGAGATGAATATGAAAAGGGAGAAGGGGAATAATAGTTAATTCTGCCCAATGCCCACCCACACATCAAGATCAAAACTCCCAGTGCCACATTTCTAAAACCCTGTCTAAAGGAGGAGGTGTCTAAAAGAGACTTCTCTGTGAATTTTTTTCACCCCATTCTCTCCTGTCCAATGAGCAATTCTGCTGTCATTTTTAAGGTGGCTATTGTTTTCTCTTAAAATGCTATAGAATAAGGATAGGAATAGGAACAAGCAAAATCAAAAACAATGACATGAATGCTGTTTACTTGCATCAGTAAAGATGCACCTGGGGGGAAAGGGAGAATGAAGTCAATCTTCCTACCCCCACTAATCAATCCCTCCAACCCTAAAAAATTCAAGGAGAAATTGCTCCTCTATCCCAAATAATGCCCTTTTCCCCTAAATTTTGCTGAGGTGAAACAGGGAAAAGGATGTTGGGACAAAGTCTCCCTTATCCCTTTAAGAAATGTCTGCAACAACCAGATACTAATACAGAAATAGCTTCATTCATAGGATAGTTTTATCTATTTTTCTATGGCTATTTATCATTGGTTGCTTTTGCAAGTTACATAGATTCATTTCGACTGAAGTGGTATTATAATAAATAGAAAAATAAATGAAACTTATCACTAGGCACCCATCTTTGCAAAAATAACAATATTGATCAATGAAAATGCATTTCTACTAGATTGCAGGTGAACAAAAATGATCCAGAGCACTTTTTTATATCCATTCACAAGAGGAAAATGCAAAACTCTTCAAACAGAATATCCAGCAAATAATAAACCATTCTTACTCTGATATGCAAAACAGAGGCAATGGAGATGGCGTACCGTATTTGAATTCTTCCACCATGATTGCTCGGGTTGATGTGGACACATTATAAGTGGAGTTCTGCTGTGGATAGGCTGGAGTGATAATGGGCATTAGATGATACCGGTCAGCTGGATTTACCTATCACAGATAAATGGGTGATTCCATGAAGAACTAAGTTTCAGAATATGAACCTAAAATCTCACCAACCACCAACTCACCAACTGGCCTTTAGAAAACCAAATATAAATTTAAGTCTTAACCTCCATTTGAAACAGGGGAATATAACATCAATCTCTTTTACAGTAACTATTGTCATTATACCAAACATGATCCAGGCAACTTATTTTATGCATGTCCAGAAAGTGCTTTAAAGCTGCTAACTAAAGTTTAGCATTCAATAGAAAATGCAGAAAAAACACCTTCACTTATCAGGGAATATCCTTTCCCCACTTAGAATAGATAAATGCATCCCAATAAGTCTAAAGCAATTTTAAAAAATAGCTCAGAATAGAATATGAATCAAGGACACGGCATAACCACAACATTGATTACAAAGCATAATACACAATAATATCACAATGCCCTGCATGCAGTGGTGGGTTTCAAATTTTTTTACTACCGGTTCTGTGGGTGCGGCTTGGTAGGCGTGGCATGGCTTGGTGGGCGTGGGAGGGGAAGGATATTGTAAAATCTCCATTCCCTCCCCACTCCAGGGGAAGGTTACTGCAAAATTCCCATTTCCTCCCGATCAGCTGGGAGGCAGAGAATAGATGGGGGTGGGGCACAATCAGAGGTGGTATTTACCGGTTCTCCAAACTACTCAAAATTTCCACTACCGGTTCTCCAGAACTGGTCAGAACCTGCTGAAATCCACCTCTGCCTGCATGCATTTTGTCTTGAAATGAGACAGGGACAGTCATCTTAGAAGTGGATTTTGTTTCAAACATTAGCAGTTATTTTCTGTGAACATTTCCTCTCCTCCCATGTTGCCCCACGCAACTCAAAGACCCTCACAGAACATATCTCTTAGAAGAGGAATGGATACTGCAATCAAGAATTGTTATTTGTCATCTCAAAGTGGTATGCTTTACAAACCCTGGGGTCCCAGACAGGCAAGTTGAGATTGCTCTCTTCAGGTTGTTTCAGCAAGACAGGATTGGGCCATTCCCTGCAAGTAAGAGTTATAAGTGGTAATTCTGGACAGTTTATTATTATTTATTATTTTATTAATTAAATTTCTATACCGCCCTTCTCCAAATAGGACTCAGGGCGGTGCACAGCCAAGGTAAAAACAGAGCATACAAAATTTAAAAACAGTATTAAAATAATTAAATATTTTGGCCGTAAATTAAAACAACCCAATTTAAAATCAATTTAAAATTTAACTCAAGCCAGCCCAGCTAGTTGAAATAAATAGGTTTTCAGGGCCCGACGAAAAATCCGGAGGTCTGTTATTGTATGTAACTCTGGGGGAAGGTTGTTCCAGAGGGTGGGCGCCATCACAGAGAAGGCTCTCCCCCTGGGGGTCGCCAGCCGACATTGTCTGGCGGACGGCACCCTGAGGAGGCCCACTCTGTGCAAGCGTACTGGCCGGTGGGAGGCTATTGGTGGCAGAAGGCGGTCTCGTAAGTATCCCGGCCCTAAGCCATGGAGTGCTTTAAAGGTGGTCACCAACACCTTGAAGCGCACCCGGAAGACCACCGGAAGCCAGTGCAGCTCGCGCAGGAGAGGTGTCACATGGGAGCACCTCGTCGCCCCCATAATCCCCCACGCGGCCGCGTTCTGGACCAGCTGGAGCCTCCGGGTGCACCCCGGGGGAGCCCCATGTAGAGAGCGTTGCAGTAGTCCAGGCGGGAAGTGACTAGTGCCTGAGTGACTGTGCGTAGAAAGTCCCGATCTAGAAAGGGACGCAACTGGCATATCAGGCGAACCTGATAAAAAGCCCCCCTGGCCACGGCCGTCAAATGATCTTCTAAAGACAGCCGTGCGTCCAGGAGGACGCCCAAGTTACGAGCCCTCTCCGTGGGGGCGAGTGATTCGCCCCCAATAGCCAGCGATGGCGTCAGCTGGCTATATCGGGACTCTGGAAGCCACAGCCACTCGGTCTTGGAGGGGTTGAGTCGGAGCCTGTTTCTCCCCATCCAGGCCCGCACGGCCTCCAGGCACTGGGACATCACTTCAAGGGCATCGTTGGGGTGGCCTGGGGTGGAGATGTACAGCTGGGTGTCATCAGCGTACTGATGGAACTCCACCCCGAAGCCATGGATGATCTCACCCAGCGGCTTTACATAAATGTTGAACAGAAGGGGCGAGACCGACCCTTGTGGCACCCCACAAGCAAGGTGCCTCGGGGTCGACCGCTGCCCCCCCGTCAACACAGATTGCAACCGGTCAGAGAGGTAGGAGGAGAACCACCGCAGAACAGTGCCCCCCACCCCCAACCCCGCCAACCGGTGCAACATGATACCATGGTCGATGGTATCAAAAGCCGCTAAGAGGTCTAACAGGACCAGGATAGAGGAGCAACCCCTATCCCGAGCCCTCCAGAGATCATCCACCAACGCGACCAATGCCGTTTCTGTGCTGTGCCCAGGCCGGAAGCCGGACTGGAGCGGGTCTAGATAGACAGTTTCATCCAGGTACCGGGGAAGCTGTTGCGCTACCACACTCTCAACAACCTTCGCAATGAAGCGAAGGTTGGAGACTGGACGATAGTTAGCCAAAACAGCCGGATCCAGAGAGGGCTTCTTGAGGAGGGGCCTCACCACCGCTTCTTTCAAAGCAGCCGGCAGGACCCCCTCACTCAAAGAAGCGTTAACAATCTTCTGGAGCCAGCCTCGTGTCACCTCCCGGGAAGCCAGTACCAACCAGGAGGGACACGGGTCCAATAAACATGTGGTCGCGTTCAGCCGTCCCAGGACCCTGTCCATGTCCTCGGGAGCCACAGGATCGAACTCCCCCCAGATAACACTCTCAAGACCTGCCTCAGTCATCCTGTCCGGACATACCCAGTCAGAGGCCAGCCCTTCCCGAATCTGAGCGATTTTGTCATACAGATACTGCACAAAGTCCTCAGCTCGGCCCTGCAAGTTAAGTTTCTTTCATTCTTTTCGAACACATACACTGTATATGGCCTCAGGATTTGTTCTATCCATTATATTAATCTGCACACAATGCTAATATATGTATAGGCAATCTGACAAAACTTGAACTACAAATAGGAACTCTATATTACTAACAGTAGAAACATAGGATATGCCTGCCTTCCTCAATATGCCACCCTCCAACCATAACTTTCCATCAACATTGCCATGCTAGTCAGAAGTAGATGCATGTCAGAAATGTCTAGAGCAGGGGTTCTCCAGCATGGCTGGCTGGAGAATTCTGGGAGCTGAACTTGACAAAGTCTTAAAGTTGCCAAAGTTGTACATCCCTGCTCTAGAGGTTACCAGGTTGGGAAAGCATTATTTTATACCAATGCCAGCAAACAAATAATAAATGCAAGGGAGATTAATTTTCTGGCAAATAACCAGATTCTGTAATGAACTAAACTTCTGGTTCCGGGGACTGACCCAGATTGGATCCTGTAAGATTCTGTAATCCCCAAAGCAATTCTCGTGAGAGCTAATGCAAAGGGAGGGTAAGAATTCAAAAAGGGGATAAGCCCAAGGTCACCTATGGAGACATAAAAGTTAAAACAGCCAAATATAAATCATTTTAGCAGTTCCACTAAGGGATGATTTTTTAATTATCAAAGGAATGCAGTGCACACTATCTATGAGGCTGAGGCCCACAATGGCTTATAAGCAATACCAGTGCTGTACTGCAAAAAGAAGATGGTGATAAAATAATTTACTTTCCCTTATATTTAAATTTAATTAAAGCTATCACACTGAAACCTTTTAAGTATTTTCCTCCTGCGTCATTCTATGAATTCTATTTCAGGCAATTCCTAGTAGGACTTTGGCACTGATGTCTACTGAGCAACTTGGTTCTATTAGAACCAGAAGAAAGCTAACTGGAATGGTATTTAAAAGTGATATTCTTTCTGCATTCTTTAAGGAGCATGTTTGCTTTATTAGTAATGGCTGCCTTCCTGAAATAATCTACCATCCAAAATGTAAGAATGTAAACCAGATGTGTCAAACATGCGGCCTGCAGGCTGGATCCAACCCATGATAGGCCCAGAGTTGTTCTGCGCCCTGGCCCCCCAGTCAGCCATGACAACCAAGCCATACCCATCCAGCTCCCCAAGGGCAAACAAAATCCTGATACAGCCCGCAATGGGATCAAGTTTGACACCCCTGATGTAAACCAATTTTGAACTGAATTCTTCAGAAGAAATTCTATGCCAGATAAATGTTTTCAGCGAACCAATTTGGATAGCAGAAGGCAAATCTCTTTGCACAACTAACTTTCAACTTTCTAGAATGAATACTTATCAGGAAGAGACATGATTTCAAACCACTTGACTTGCAAATCATAGCTTAGTGTAATGTTTTGTTAGTATATAATATAACCTGCATTGCTTACACAGTAGAGGCCTAATACATTAATCAAAAGTTGCTTTGAATAGTGGGATGGATTGTCTATTCATTTACTAAATAAGTAAATCTTACCATTTTGAAAAAATTAAGAAGAATCTGTGAACAAGGGTTGATGCCAAAGCATTTGGGTACAGCTGACAGGTCCTTGCCACCAGCATGGCCCAAGAAACACCACCAAGGAATCCCAGCATGTTGGAATAAATTCCACGCCCTAAAAGTAGATATTTGGCACTCAGATGGGACTCAGTATTTCAAACAGTCTCATTCATTATACTGGTGTAGGCTATCATGGCTGGCATCAATGAAGCAGTGATAAGCTTTTGGGCTGAAATGCGTATTTTTTTATCCTGCCAGAGATTCTGGTAAAACATCAGGACAAAAGAAAACTAGACTACAATCATTCAGCCTGCTTTAGTCTGATTTAAGTTAGTTCACTTTCTTTTCTAAACCAGGTAGCTTAAAAGACAAGGAAGAAATAGATGGCTGTATTTTCCACTACTTTTATCACCACTAAATAGTTTACACTCAGTGAAATAAGCAATTTTGGGTATAGGAAAGAAATTTAGAACATGAGCACAAGTGGAAAAACATGAACCACTTCACTTCCCTTAACTAACTCAGAAGCTAAACTCTCAACCTCCTTTTAACTAACTCAGACTATGAAATCTGATGGCAGATTCCTTGTATCTAACATGGCACAACACTCAGAAAAGCCAAAACACTCAAAAATTCTGAAACAGAAACTTGCACATCAGCCCAAAGACTACATTAACTAACACTTAGTTTTGAGCTCCCCAGCAACAATTTTCTGTATAGGTATTTGTCATTGAGACTTTGATTCTAGCAATCACTTTCCTTTTGAAAGTATTCCACCTTGTGGCCATTTGTATGCCAGGCAAGCATGGAAAGGGTTGAATTTAAAAGGTGCCTCTCCTGTTTCCTGCAAACCTGAGTTAGGCAAATAGACAGCTCTGTGGTGTTGATTTGCCTCACTTCCCTTTAAGGACAGCAGATGAGCAGCTACAATTTGGACAACCCAGCCAAGGAAAACAGATTCAGCCCATGGTCTCACTGTCCACACCCCACCAGCTTGATAGTCAAGGATGATGCGCTGGGTTGTAATTCAAGCTTATAGATAGGTTACTTATCTGAATTATGCATGCATCTACAATAGTTTGTTCAATGCCCTTACAAGATTCCTTATTCAGTTGTCAAATGCAGGATTAACTTGATAATAAACTTGATAATAAATTTTTTGCTTAGAAATAAGTGACTTTTTAAAAGAATAAGACATTGAAAATATATAAAAGAATTAGCAGGTATATCCTGCCAAGCTTAGCAATAAAATGTTTCTAATAATAGGAAAGATGTCACAGTGATTACTGCCAGTCTCAGCATCCTTTCACCAATTTATCCTTCCTCTCTCCTGTCATTTGGATCCCTAGACTTCAGCTCTAGCAGCATCATAGCAGCACCTATTGCACTAAACATGCAGCAGTCTGAAATCTGACCAGAACCATGTGCTATAAAAGCTCTGGATGGCTGACAAATGCCATTGTCATCCTGCAATATACAAGTGATTATTTCAAAGCCTTAAAATTAGAATGAAAAATAGGGCCCTTGTCAGTCAATAGGAGCGCTGATTTACCTCCAGCCTACCAGGTACTTAGGAACCGAAGGTGTAGCAGCACAAGTAAAACAACAATTAATGACTTAATAGCCAGTCATCAACATCCTATAACAACTAAAAGCTACACACAATCAGGAATCAAAGAACACATAGAACAGCCCAGTGTACATATTCTGGAGAGAGAGAAGTTGTCATGGATTTGCACCTGGACCCTTCTCCAAATGCAAGTTTGGAGAAGGAGGGAGAGTGCTTAAACCATAGGAAGCCTCCTCTAACATATGCAAAGAAACACAGATATTAGTTTAAAAGGTCATGTGTTTCAATTCCTTGATTGAGCTGACATTATGTTTAAAGTTTCTCTAAAAAAGAATGAACTACTTCACTCTCACTGGAAAATACTAATGCCTTTCAGTGACCAGAAGCAAATAACTTTTTCCCTGTAGCTAACGATAACTTCAGAAAATGCTAAGACTAGTCATGTCTGTTATTATATGTACCTTCTAATAATGCACCTTCATAACCGATAAGAATGAGAAAGGCACTGTGACTTCTTCAATATTTGGACTGAATTTTTTCAGCAATATGAATTAGGAATTACAGCAGAGTACAGGATATAATTTGTACATAATTTTTATAACAAAGTGAGTGCAAATCTAATTTCCAATGTGGAACAGCTCAACATATTTTCTTGGTTATACTACTGAAGAAACTAGTTTCTTGATTCTCACAGGAACCTCAGTGCTATTTGCCAGGCCCAGGACAGGCTTTGAGGTGACATAGTAACAGGGCAACTGCAATATTTCTGTTCTTGTTCTTACATAGGACTGTACTCTTGTAACAGAATGACAGAGTTGAAAGGGAGCTTGGAGGTCTTCTAGTCCAACCCCCTGCTTGACCAGAAGATCCTGCACCATTTCAGACAAGTAGTTGTCCAGTCTCTTCTTAAAAACCTCCGGTGATGGAACACACATAACTTCTGAAGGCAAGTTGTTCCACTGATTAATTGTTCTGTCATTTTTACAATCGGGTGGACATCCAGCTCAAATACCAATGCTTAACAACTTGAGGTAGCTTAAAGTAGGTTTTGAGCATTCAACAGGAATCGCAAATACATACCCAGCCACTGGTTTGCAAACATTAGACACATGTAAATTTGTTTCAGGATCCACTAAATTTATAGTTCAACAACCATTATGAAGATTTGCAGAAAACATTCATATATGACAAACTCACTTGGCTTACCCTAAAGAGTCATTTCAAGGACTATTAAGCCTTGCAGCTGATAGTGCAAAATTTGATGTATTAAGTACTTACGCTTAGCCCACAGTTTAATTGCTCTGAGTGTCAGCCTGAAGTTCTCCTTGTTTGGTACCAAATGAAGTATTTCATCAGTGACTCTGCAACCTGCCGACAAACATTAAAGTTTCAAGTTAAACAGGCAAAGCACCAATAATGGCAAGCAATGGTCTACAGCAGCATTCTTCAGCTCCCTGCTATCGAGATTCAGTACATCACACTGCCAAGGATTCCCAGCCATGTTCAGCAAATGGAATGTAACTTAACATATCTGAAACATTCCAGGTTGGAAAAATGTTGATACATGAGGTCTTTGTTTTGCTTAAGTCATCCTGAAAAAAAATGGCGAAAACTGGTCTGAAACAATAATATTAAATGTTGTCCCACATAAAAAAGACAATTTTTGAAAAAGATGATTTACTCATACCCAGTGCATTTTACCATATTTTTCCATATCCAAGAATTATTCTAAATGCTAGTTCTTTAAATCTAGCTGCTATAACAATCATGCAACATCAATATGGTTGTTGTTTTTTTTGCCATTGCCTGTTTTCTAGAACTGAGTGAGGATGATGGCCCAAGATTATCCAGCTGGCTTTGCGCCTAAAGCAGAACTTGAACTCAGAGTGCCCTGATTTCTAGCTTGATGCCTTAATCACAATACCAGTCTGGCTCTCAATATTAATACTGTAGCTTAATTTTTTTGTTTTTCTTTCCAATTGGGGAGATGGATAGAAACTCTCCAGATTTTCTTATATTCCTGAAGAAATACAAGACACTCTCTGACACTTAAAACTATTAATTATTAAAGGTCTTATACATCATATTTCTATCAGTAGATGGCCAAATTGTTTACGAACAGGAATGATATTGGAAGAGAAAACCCCAAATTTCCAACAAAGATTTGATAAAAACTCAATAAAAGCCTAAACATACCTAACTTGCTAAACAGTAACCCCAAGGGTATTAAGGAATAAGGCAAAAAGGCAAGCAGGGCACATTTGCAAATATTATGGCTAAATATGGATGCTAAAAAAGGAAGTTTATTGGAAAAATCATGGTACGAAGCATGTAGCATTAATTAACCTATGTAACTTTGTTGAGTATTGTATTATGCCTATGTGCAATGCTGAAATGTTAAAAATACAGGACTTACTTTAAAGGAACATGAAAAAATATCTTGTGACCCTGTGATGTGAGCATGCTGTAATTTACGGTAAATGCTGGTTAAACCTCACCAGAAGACATTGGGGTGGGGCGGGGTAGGGGTTACATAGGCTTTGAGAGAGATGATCCTGTGTCATTTTCTTCAGCAGAATAAAGATTATTTACAATTTCCACCTTAAGTGTATTCAGGGTACACTGAGCAATGGACCCAGTGCAGGATTGGACAACAATGTTAAAAACCAATGCCTATTTTTCCAATAGTGGTGAGGTGGTGGTAGCAGCTTTATGTTTTTCCAATATTGATGAAGAATTTGGTAGAATTTGCCTTTATGTTAATCTGATCATATCATGTCATTAATAATATCATGATCCTCCTGACTTATCCAACAGGATTTAAGAATATAGAATAACAGGGCTGGAAGGGACCTTGGAAGTCTTCTACTTCAACCTCCTACTTGAGCAGTATATCATTCTGGACCAATGGTTGTCCAATGTTTTCCACTGGAAAACTTCCAGTGATAGAGCACCTTCTGGAGGCAAGCCATTCCACTGATTAATTTCAGGTGCTTTGGTATAATAGGTCGACCCTCTCTTCTCTGTGACAGCACCTCAAGTATTGGAAGAACTTTCGTTGAAAAACTATTTTTTGAAAGAACTGGAGCATTTCTTTTTGAATACTAAAAAGTGTTACATGCTATTTACACATGTGTATGAGAGTTCCATCATGTTTTAAGCAAACTGAATTTCAGAAGTCGAAGATTCGGGCAACTATGTGTATAGTAAGCTTTAAGCATCAATACAAAACAACAGAGTTAGAAGGGACCTTGGAGGTCTTCTAAATCCAACCTCCTGCTCAAGCAGGAATACCATTTCAGACATATGGCTGTCCAATCTCTTCTTAAGAACATCCAGTGTTGGAGCACCCACAACTTCTGGAGGAAAGTCATACTATTGATTGTTCTAACTGTCAGGAAATTTCTCCTTAGTTCTAGGTTGCTTCTCTCCTTGATTAGTTTCCATCCATTACTTATGGATGGAAATTAATGGATTGATCCATTCCATCCATTATCACATGAAACACTCAAAAGCATACATTATTTGAACATCACTGTCCAGCCGTTGTTTCACAGGTTTTGAGAAGACAAGACAGTCATTCTTAGCCTGAGTCCTCAAGCCAAAACTGCATGAAGATATCAGACTAGGGAAAGCTTTAAAATTACCATTTAAACTCCGAATGCATCTGATATCAAGGCTTCTCAAATGTGCATCATCCCTAAGGTCCAGGCTATCTGAAATGCTTGGCAGGGGTAGTCTTGCAAAGACGAGATCAATCTAAAGTGTAAGAAATGAAAATGGTATCTTAGCAGTAACTCTAACAATGTGCTACCAAGTAGCAAGTGTTCTGATTTGATCTATGTATCCAGCTCAGAAAGTAGAAGAAACATCTCACAAAACTCCATACACACAGCCTGTGTAATATTGTACTGCATCACTCTTGTAATTCATATGTACCTCTTCTGGAACTGTAAAAAAAAGGCTGCTTAATGTCAGCCCCCGTGGCAAACTGCTTGCATGTTCATTACACTTAGTACAGTCAGTCTTCAGTTTTGCAGGACTTACTTCTATATTTCCCATACCCTCAAGATTTATCAACTGAGCCCAAGGCTCTGTAAATTAATAAATTTCTTCTCTATTTCCTATTTGCATTAGTAAGGCATAACCTAGTGTTTAAAAGTTTGCTTCTCAGTCTGCTAACATATGACATAACATATGATCTTGTATATATCTTATGTTACATTTTTTCTATCCTGCTTTATGGAGTAGAGAGTTGGTCTCTGACAGAAAACCACTTGAAGAAACTAGAAGCATTTGAAATGTGGATTTACAGACGACTGTTACGTATAAATTGGATTAACAAAATCACAAATGAGGAGGTGATAAGCCACCTGGGAAAGCAAAGGGAAATAATCAAAGCCATTAAAAAGCGCAAGTTAGAATATTTTGGACATGTGATGCGACACCCAGAAAAATACGGCATCGTTCACTTAATCCTCCAGGGAAAGATTGAAGGCAAACAAGGTCCAGGCTGAAGAAGAACATAATGGCTTCAAAACCTAAGGGACTGGTTTGGACAAAACTCAGCAGCACTTTTTCATACGGCTGTTGACAAAAATAGGATTGCCAACATGATCGCCAACATCCAATGACAGATATGGCACAAGAAGAATATATCTTCCCTTAATTTACATATATGTCAGGGTATCAAGTATCTTTTAATAAATGGAAATCACTTTACTTTTTTATGTTGACACAGAAATGCCTTATTTCCAATTTCCAAGGGGTGCTGTTTTTCATTTGCTTGCACCTTTGTAATTGTATTAGTATTGTTTATTTTCCAATGTTTTTCTTTTTGATTACTGACCAGGAAAGATAAATGTTAGCTGATTTTTTTTTATGCTAGCAATCATGTTGCTGTGAAGACCAATGGAAACCTAGTCCAAATTTGGTCCCAGTGGAATCTGGCAAAATTCTGTTACCTCAGTGCTTAAGCTAAGTGCCAAACCATTTCTGATCTAAGCTTACATCTCTTCATTCACACTTGGAGAGAATCTATATAGCTATATGTCCACTTATCCAAAGATCACTTTAAGAACAAGTTCTCTTCTTGAAAAGGACAACCAGTATCATAAAATTCAAATTTCCAGCAGAAGCTGTCTACAGTACATAAATGGATAAAAACTATATTTACCTCAATACCATCAAATTCAAACTTGATTACTGGTACATATGCATCTTCTACTGCCTGTAGGAAAGATTGAAAAACATTTACTTGAAATAGTTTTGAATTATTTCACTGCTTCCAGAATACAGATATGCAACACAATCATGGATGTAACTTTTCCTAAAGAAAAACAGAAGGCTCAGAAATCTTAGCCTCCACAAAGCCATAACCTTTGAATACCTCAATAAAAAGCAGAATCTATCATATACTTTTAAAACAGCAAGTTTGTTTTTATTAAAACAAAATTTAAGTTGTTCCAGCATCCCATGTGTCAGGGTTCAGATGATAAAAGATTATAATAATCCTAGGTTCTATATCCCAGGTAAGAAAGTGCCTTCTAACCAGGGTGGATAAAAATCAATTATTTTTAAAAAAAAATCAAAAAAATCAGATTTTTTTGATTTAAATCGGATTTTTTTGATTTAAATCAGATTTTTTTGATTTTTATCGAATTTATTTTAATAAAAAACTTTTGGGGTAAAAATCTATTGTAAGATAGTTTTCTATTTAAGATACATAAATAATTTAGTTTATTCAGCATGAAATGGAGCTTAGTTATGTAGCATGAGGCTGTATATTCTGCAACACTGGGACTATCGGTGAGTCAACAGTGGGTCAAAGGAGTAGCAGAGATGACAGTTGCTCTTTAAAATTATGATTTAAATTGAGTTGATTTAAATCAAGTCTTTTTACTAGTGATTTAAATCATGATTTAAATTGTGATTTAAATCAACTCAATTTAAATCAAATCCACCCTGCTTCTAACAATTAACAGAATAAGAGTTGGAAGGGACCTTGGAGGTCTTCTAGTCCAATCCCCTGCTCAAACAGGAAACCCAATACCATTGCAGACATATGGTCGTTCAATCTCTTCTTAAAAACCTCCAATGTTGGAGCACCCAAACTTCTGGAGGCAAGTAGTTTCACTGATGAATTGTTCTAACTGTCAGGAAATTTCTCTTTAGTTTTAGGTTGTTTCTCTCAATTAGTTTCCATCCATTGCTTCTTGTCCTGCCTTCAGGGGGCTTGGAGAATAGGTTGTCCCCCTTCTTCTTTGTGGCAGCCCCTTAGATTCTGGAAAACTGTTATGTCACCCCTAGTTCCTCTTATTAATTAACTATCCATATTATTAACTACTCTTGAACGTCCCAGTATCCCTGGATCTTCAAAAAAACCCACAAACAAACCATGACAAATTCATCTTCAGAAAAACTTAACTGGCAAATACAGGCAGACTTTCTATAAAATTACTTAGCTATAGCAATATTTTTGCTTTCTCTTACTCATACATCAATGCTTTGGTATTTGGGAACATCCCAAAACTAAGGAAGCAAGAGATGATGAGAAATAAAGCTTTCATATTGTGGCAAATCTCCTGGGTTCACGCCATAATTCAAAGTTGTAATTATTGATGCAATAGAAAGAAAATGAATAAATAGGAAATAAGCATGCTAATGACTTATTTTAAAGTGAGTGTCTGTCTTTGCTGCCTTCATTTTTGGGAGAGTACTTCTTACATGTCCCTCTAAGACCCAGAACAGCTCCCTGTTTGTCTTATTCCATCTATCGTAAATGGCTTGTCCTAAGAAGGTGGGGAAACATTTAGAGCGGTGTCGAGAAACATTAATTTGGAGCATAAACCTGAATGAATCTAAACTCCAACTGATACAAAATAAAATATGTTTACACATTTTTGTATCCCTTCAATACAGCCTTTCTCAACCTCTCAAGGCTTGTCAATAAACAGCTTTCACACAGTGCTGCCCAACCATCAAGTGAATGACATGCACCCCTGAGATGGTTAAAGAAAGACAAAGTGACTTACTCTCAGATTTCTGATGCCATCTTGGAGCTTTAACTTTTCAAAAAATGACTGGAAGAAGTCTGATCTTTCTATGTGTCTAGGGGCTACACAGAGCGCGTCTATGTCAGCACCTACCGAAAAACAGCCATGGCAATTAGTTGATGAAACGAACATGTTCACAGTTCAAGACTGTTTATAACAGCCTTTCACAATCTAATAGTCTATCCATGTCAGTTGCAAATTATGTAAATAATTGTAGTCCAATGTATCTGGTAGAACTTACCTTTGGTGTGAACTCCAAGCCGATAGGAACCAAATGTGAATATTTTGCCACCAGCTCTAGATGAGATTGAAGATGGCAAGTTCTACAATAAAGTAGGAAACAGTTTTACTTTGAATGTATACAGTACAATTATATTTAACATGTGCGCACATAGTCTTCAATTGTTAAAAAATCTTCAATTTTTTAACAATTAACATTCTAAATAAAACTATTTGCTCTTCCCAGAAGTTTCTCATGCAACTAGTTATTAAAATTTTTTTACTCTTTTTTCTTCTTTTTCCCACTTATAGCATATCTACTCAACTGTAAGCCATTTTATCAGCTGCTAGGAACCATTCTGAGAGCGTTTACAGAAATTATATAACAGACTGTCATGTTCTGGCATTATGCTGAGCTTTAATGTACTGCGGTTGTCCAGTTTTATCATGTTTTGTAATTTCAGCCACTGAAATCTTCAAACCATAATTTATGATTTCAGGCATTCTGTGTGCCAAGTCAATAGTAGCTTATCCACCAATCTTTGAGCAAACACTCGGCTAAGCAAAAAGCTCAAGAAAGGTGACCTCTTGTTTTCAGCCTTTGCCTGCCTCCATCTTGGAAAGGAAATTTTGCAAAGAGAGCTTTTGTTAGAGTTTGACTCTATCAATGATTTAACAACAATGATAAGTCATGAGCTTTCCAAAGCAATCAAGTATCATTTGCTGCAAAGTCTTGTGGCTTCAAAGATTATCCCAATTGCCTCCAAAATAGGGCTGGCAGGAAGGAAGGGAAAGTGGGAGATGAAGAGCTCCATGGAGGGAACAGTTAGTCTTCTGATATATGGCAGGGTACCTGTAGCTTGACAGCAAACATCTATCAAAAAACAGCTAAATCTCTATTACTCTCAACAAAATTCTACAGTAGCTTAAAACAAGGTAAATAGTCTGGAGGAGTCAAGCTTTCACAGGCCTCTTACCTTATTTTCAGTAACTTCTGCAATCCAGTATTTAACCAAGTTATTTAGTTTGTCAAGAACAGCTAACCTGCAGCCAGGAATATAAATAAAACATTTAAAAAGCAGTGCTAAAAATTGGTGTCAAGGGGTTTATCCTGTTGTACTTTCACCAAGAGAAACTTCACTATTATGACTTCGGTAATTAGAAAATGTTCATTTAAGATCAGCAGTACTACATGTATTCCCTTTTACCTGCAATCCAGCTCTTCTTCCTCTTCAAATACACCAAAAGGCTCCAGGGCTTCAATAAGTTTCTGTGAATAGATATAATCTATTTCCCTTGGTGGTGCCAAACTAATGGGAGAAGTAATTCCGTAGTTCCTTTCCAGCTGGTTCTCCAAATAAGTTCTGCACAGAAAATTTACATAAATCAAGACTAAGGAGTTTATTTTTCTCCACCACAACCAACTCCTTTCTTCACATCCCCATTGCATATTAAGTAATTTATCTGATTTAAAGTCCAGAATTTGCAGAAAAAGAAGCTATTATAGGAAATAACCTCATATCCGAAGCAAAATTCTACATTTCAAGCAAAGGCACGTTTCCTTAATATTAAAAACTAAGGTTTCTACTAATATCAATTCAGTTTTCAAGATAGCTCACATCTTAAGGCGAAAAGGGTTTTTATAGGGAAAGCAGCATCACTTTGCTGTTAGCTAAAATTTTAGAAATGTATCTCTTTTTAACAGTTTTCCAAGTATTACAGACTTCAGTGCGTGGATACACATTTAAAGATCCAATCAGTCTATCTTGGCTTGATTATTGCAGTACATTTGTAAGTTCACTTTTGCATGCCTTTTACAGATATAAAACGATTTGCAAGGTTTGCATCATCTTCACTAACAAGGATCCCGCCTAAGTATTCATTTTTTCATTATATAATCAATATAAATTAAATTAATATATTTCAATTAGCTTTTAAAATATTTTGATATGTTTGATTCAGAGTCAAATAATTTAATGCAATTATATATAGAAAATACAACATCTAAGGATGACTGAAGTGCTAAATAGATAGTTGTTCCATTTGGCACATTACTGTATGAAACGGATCACTGTAAGTACAGGGATGTCTGAAGCAGGCCCTCACTCCCATAACCAACTTCTTTCTATTGCACTATATAAGGCAAAACATAATTTTCATATATTCATATGTAACTTTCTCCTAATAGAGAGTCATGCTTATAGAGGGAACATTAGCATTACTTTCCAGCATCATTATCTACTGATCATCTCCATTTCAAAATTCTAGTTAGTTGCCTTTTATTTAAACACCCTAAACACTCTAAATTGATATTTGATTAGAACAAGAGTGGGCAACTTTTGAATGTATTGGGATCCATATGGTTCGTCACGAGCCAAGCGCCTACACTGAATGGAATTATGATGAAATATGGTAAGCAGAATTTTCTAAGGGTTCTTTGGGGGGAGTTCTTATAATATTTGAGACATTGGCTTTTAAAATTAAACAGCAAAAAAATTAAAATTAAAATTAAGCAGCAGCAATAAGCAGATTTCACACTCACTGAACTTTTTTCTTCCTTACTACAATCCTACAGTGTATCAACCAATTCATTTTCCAAACCAAGCATTTTCCAGAACAGAACTCACAATCCCTTCAGACCATCAGGAATTCCTTGTTTTCTTTTTAGCTACTTTAATTTCAGCAGCACAATTTCTTTCTTCCAATTGTTTGTCTGTTGTTTCTGTCAAACAGCACTCTGAAATTTTTGTTGTAGATCCCACTGATCAACCAATAGCCTACTCCATCTTTTAACCATTGTTAATCTCAAATAATCAGAGAGCAGAAATGCTTCCATATAGGGAAGACAAATTGTTTATCTAACTCAATACTATTGATTGTGGCAATAGGTTTCAGGCACACAAATCTGTTCCATTATCTGATCTCTAATCCCTTTTGACTAATAATAGGGAACAGAACCAGTCTCTTCTAGGTGGAAAGCAAATGCTCTACAACCAAGTAATCTCAGTGGAACTGAACACAACAAAGATTTGGGCAGCAACAAGATATACCAGAAGGCACTTTCAAATGAAGTTCCACCTTTTCTTTCCAAAATTGACCAAAAATGGCCTTTGACCTATCTGGGTTATTATGGAAGGCAAAGTAATTATTGACTCAGGAACTCACCCCTGCCTGCATATAATTTTGAAAAGGAAGTCTATAATCTCTCTCCCTGCCAGTGTCAAGGTCTTTCCCTAGTTTATGAATAATTTCCTGGTTTAGCATTGTGCCTATATTAACCTTCCTGACATTCTACAGATGATCAATCCCACAGAATTCTCAGCAATGGCCAGAAATTCTATCAGATGGATTCCATACATCTGGAGGGTGCTCAGATTAAGGACGACTGTCCTACATATAGACACATTCTCTGATAGGCTTGGGTTCCTGAGAGGGGACTTAAGTCAGAATGCAACAAAAATGTTAATGACTGGGAGAAATAAGAGGAAAGCAAGATTGTAAGATCTTTCCTCCCTTGATATTGTCCACCTGATCACTATCAACGATCCAATTGTTAAATATATTTTAATCAAAATTAAGGGACACTACATGGGGGTAAAGGCATCTATATTGTATGACAGAAGAGCTTAAAACCAGACCATCTAGGATTAACTCATGAGGAGACCAACTAGAGTGGAAAACTGATTAAAAAACCAGAGTCAAAAGGATCTACAGGAGAGATCATAGCTTACAAAGGAACCACAGGGTTGAGCAATCTGAACCCAACAGGACTCATTTTCAAGTAAGCATCTGAGATTGCACAGTAAGCAGCAAGGTGGCAAAGGAGTGGATTATGCCCAACATAATTCTTGTTTCATCCTTCACCAGAGATGATTGTTCCACTCCCAAATCTATAGCACATTACTTAACTACAAAAGAGTAAAAAGGTTAACACATTCAAAGACTTTGGCCATGCAGTGGTGTTAGGTCCTCTTGACATCTTATTTTTAGTTGCTAATTTAGCAGGTACAATACTCGTCCTAGAGCGGAACAGGGAGCTATCTCCTCAGCTGTCTTCTTCACCTTCTACTCTTAACACTGTTCTTCAGGAAATCTAATAATGCTTGACCAGGGTTACCTTGCTACCAGGGAAGCAAGCAAATGGCCTCGGAGGACAGTAATGAATTGAGAATAGGATGGATCACAATGTTCCATAGCAAATAGGGCCATGGTCTCTATCCAGAGTCCTTTGAAAAAAAAATGGCCTTTCAAAAATGGCCTAACTTGGCAGAAATGATTCAATCTAGCACTTTAGGGCAGGGGTCTCCAACCTGGGCAACTTTAAGACTTGTGGACTTCAACTCCCAGAGTTCCCAGTCTGGGAATTGAAGTCCACAAAGTTGCCCAGGTTGGAGACCCCTACTTTAAGGCCTACTACCTCATTCTCTGCAGGTGTAGAATAAGTATGCTCATCAACAGCAGGGAAAGGCAGCCATACAAACTAACTGCAAGGTATTTGGGAGCAACAGGAAAGGATATACTCCGAGACTTCCTAGATCCATTTCTAAAAATAACAGCATTTCAGACCAAACCTGGGCAACCTACTTCTCTCCAGTAAAATAAAAGCCCTAGTTTTCAGTATCACGACATTTTTAATATACTTCACCGGACTTAACGTCTACTGCGCCAGAGACGTTAAGACTCAGTCTGAGGATGTAAAGTGTGGATACTTGTTTTCATACACAAAAGTCCTGGGGGAGGAGAGGATAAACCACAGGGATCTCCAAAGAAAACGAAATACAAGGTACTTTTTCTTCCCTCTCTTCGGTGCGTTTTTTTTTTTTTTTTTTGGTTTTTTGCGCGCGTGTACGAGTCCTAACCAAATTGAGATTAAAGCCACTTCGAAGTACACACACCTTCCCACATTTCCACGCGCATTGGGGATGACGGGGCTGCCGCGCAATGCCTTCGGAGCCCACCCTTTGACTTTATCTCCCTCCCCCCCTCCAAGAAACATGGCTCGAGTTTTTACGGCTTTGCTTCTAGCGGTCGCATTTATCCAAAGTGCTCTTAGCGAGCTAGCGGTTTCCATAAAGCCAATGGAAATTCTGAGCTGAGCGTGGGAAGGGACAGAAAGCGTCAGCAGCAGCGACCGCAGCGGGTCACACACGTCCACCCCGCTTTCCTCAAGCGAAGAAGAGCCCGGCCCCCCCACTCCCAGGCTGCCCTTTCGTGACGTGACGTAGCAAGCCTCCGCCTCCACCCCCCCCCACCCCTTACCCGCACGTCTCCTTCATGCCCACCGCCAGCATGAGCTCTGCACGCATTGACCGCCTCCAACGCGCGCACAACACCTGCGTTCAATCACCGCCTTCTCCCTCGGTCTCCTATATAGGGAGGGAGGAGCACTCGCCACAATTACTGTAGCAACAGCGCCCTCTGCCCGAGAGGTCTGGTATAACAGCGGTCCACTTGCGGACTTCCGTTGTCTCTCGGCTCTTTTCCACTTCTTGCGGAGCGGCTGCTGATTCTATGAATCTATGGCGAAGGTTTGGGAGATAATGCTTCGGAATCGGAACGCTAACAACCATCGTCCCTCAACCCGAATTTCGTCGTTTAGACAAACCAGTCTTTTTCTCCGTTCTAGTGCCCTCTAGTGGTCTGGGATTACAACTCCCATGCTGGTGGAGAGTTGGGCCCAAAACAACTTGCAGAAACTTCGAGGAAGAAGACCAAAGTGTAAATTCTGCATGGTATCCATGCTTGCCATCCTATTGCCTGAGCTGGAGCATTGGAAGTCATGAATTGATGACTGGAAGTGCTCAGGATCTGGCCTGGATGAAATAAGCTCCGGCTAAGCACTGCCAAGGCTGAATATTGCTTGTCCTTGTTCGGATAGCGTTCCTCCCACAAGGTTTTGCTCATGGCTCTTTCTCAATTGATGAGAACTTCCTCTATAAGGAAAGCCATAGCTTTGGGGAGGGGGGAGTGTTGCTCAGCTTCAGCTGCTATGCCGGTTGTCAGTCTATCTTGACCAGGATGCTCCAGTGATGGCATCTCATGCCATGATCACCACACACTTAGACTACTCGAATGTGCTCTACATGGGGCAGCCTTTCAGAATGGCTGAGAAGGTACAGCCGGTTCAAATGGCAGCAGCCATGCTCCTCACAGGACAACTCTTGTCAGAGCCGAATATCATCCATCCCACACTTCCTGTGTGGGCTGCTGGTTGGCTTCTGGACCAGTGGTGAAATCCAAATTTTTTTACTACTGGTTCTGTGGGTATGGCTTGGTGGGCGTGGTGTGGCTTGGTGGGCATGGCAGAGGAAGGATACTGCAAAATCTCCATTCCCACCCCACTCCAAGGGAAGGATACTGCAAAATCTCCATTCCCTCCCCACTCCTGGGGAGTGGATATTGCAAAATATCCATTCCCACCCCACTCTGGGACCAGCCAGAGGTGGTATTTGCCGGTTCTCCAAACTACTCAAAATTTCCACTACCGGTTCTCCAGAACCTCTCAGAACCTGCTGGATTTCACCCCTGTTCTGGACCCAATTCAAAGTATGAGCTATCATCTTAAAGTGGCTTCATCCAGTTATTATGTCAGGCAATTTCCTATCAAGATAGAATCTGTCTGGCCAGTATGAACACTTAAAGGTTGATCCCCACACTCTGCCAGGTTTATGTGGTGGGGGTGGGGCCTGGTGATAGGGCTTCTTAGGTTGGCCTCTATTCCTTGGAACTGCCGTAGTGGGGATGTCTCCTTGCACTTAAGCAAGTTCAAAGTGCTTAACTTAAAACCAGCTAGCATTTGGCCTCTTCCCTATTTCACTGTCAGTTGTTTGGACCTTATATTATGGTTTTCATTGTGTATATTAATTGTGTTGTTTGCCTCCCAGGGTCCTAATCAACTGGAACAGCTTATCAGTATGGCAAATAAATACATTTATTGGAGTTTTTTTGCCAATTCCAAACTGGCCATTTTGGTATTGAGGCATATTTTGGGATGGTGACTTGTGGCAGACTGCCAGAGATATGTCCCTCTCTGGTCACCTGTGGTTTGTGGGGGCTCATAAGAAGATCCCACATAATCCATGTGGTGGTGAATAATGGGAGGCAAGCAGATGGTGTGGAGGAGCCAGATGTGTTCACCTGAGACACCTGCCAAGCTTGCTCAGTGTGTACTTGAGAATAAAATTACTTCTAGCAAACTCAGTGTTGTGAAGTCATATTTACTGTCCCTGCCCAGAGTTCGTATGAAGGATGCCCACAACCATATTGGAAACTTGAGAGGGTGGTTGACGGGTGAAATTTAGCAGGTTCTAACAGGTTCTGGAGAACCGGTAGCGGACATTTTGAGTAGTTCGGAGAACTGGCAAATGCCACCTCTGGCTGGCTCCAGTGAGAGGAGGGAATGGGGATTTTTCAGTATCCTTCCCCTGCCACGCCCACCAAGCCACGCCCACCAAGCCACACCAAGCCACGCCCACAGAACTGGTAGTAAAAAATTTGAATTCAATCACTGGTGGTTGGGACAGCACTGGTTGTTGCAGGAGCTTTCCCAATTCATCCTGGTTGTTTAGCAGGTTGTGTTTGCAGTAAGGGAAACTGCTGCCAGTTTCCCTTACTGGAAGTGGAGCCAGTGAAGCCAACCACTGCTGAGGAAGCAGCTAACCTGCATTCCAGTCAGCTGAGAATGTTAGGATAAGACACCCAGGCACCAGTGCATTTTTGCCTTGGAGGTGGGAAATGCAAATGGAAGAACAAGGCTGGAGTTCCTATCAAGCTGGAGCCTCTTTACCCACTCAGAGGAATGAACAGAAGCCCAGCCAGTCAACTTGCAAAGTTGAGTCAGCTTGAGTTTCCAAAATAACCTGGAGCACTGGAGCATCATGGGGACACACAAGGGAAGGGTGAGGTGCCAATGTCAGATTAGCAGTTTGTTGGCATTTGAAAGGGTCTTACCAAGAGTATCTCAGAGTGATCAAAAAAGTCAATATCGCAGATGCAAATGTTTAAGTGACCCAGTTGGAGCTTTGATTGAACTATAGTGGCTTCCATCTTGACTTTCTTGATCATATCTTACATACACCCTGATCCTTTCTATGTGGGCACAATGTCTGCTATTACAGGAACTGATCTGTTGCATGGATTCCTCAACAACATTCTCCAATCCTGGGATCTGCATTCAGCATATAAATCCTTTATTTAAGATGTTTTTCTATGCCTATCCTGTGACCTTTCGATATAATCCATAACTCCTCTGTTGTATATTGCAAAAGGTATCTTTTGTTTTACTTTCTTTTTATTTGTCTTGGCTATATTTTTGCTATATCGCTTCATGCCAACAGACTGAAAAAGGTGGCAGGAGTTTAATTGATCCTTTCAGCGTAAACAAATAGATTATCATCCAAGCAATACTCTGTTCTAAATGCTGTATTTTGACTTTTGTATCTCAGGCAAAATCAGTTTGAGGGAGCCTTCATCTTTTATAGTTAGCTTCACTGAGGATTTGAAATGGGTTCTCTCCCTATAAAAAAAACAAACCCAACAGCTTGGAATAACTTCACAATTTTATTCATGTTCTTGGTACAAACAACCATATCATCATTTTTAACCAAGCAAAATATTATAAGATAATAATACATTCATGTCTTCTACATCCCATCCCAGACATATGTGCAGAAGTATTTTGAGGGCATAGATCCATTCATTTGGTGTGTTCTTTGTAGGAAACGCTGGTACCCACAGGTAAAGGATGGGGATGGATGGATGTACGATGTATGTAATGTAAATAATGGTATGTGGGAATGACCTTGGGAGACAGATTGAAGAGTCACACATTAGATGATGGTCAGGGAAGTGGCAGCTGAGCCCGTCAGAATGGGGCCATGGCAAATGTCTGGAAGAGACTCCCTCTAGTTTCTTTGACTCTTAAGATGAGGGAGACATGCTTTCAAACTTGAAAGTTTCTGTTACGGTACTGTAATTCATTATAAAGGTAGTGCTTATACTCCTAGGTGTGTTTCTTGTCTGGATTACCTCTCAAGACCAACAAAATAGCAGTCATGATGATAAGGTCAAAGCCCCACACTACCTTGAAATGGGTTCTCTCCCTTTAAACCCTCCCCCCCCGTGCATTCAAATGCACAACACACATAAAATAGGAGCAGGGCTTTGATTGTGTGGGTATGGCTGCCATCTTGACTTTCTTGACCCCGGTTGATAGGAAGTATAGTTATAATTCAGTGATTTGTGGTGATCACATATAACCTAGAGCTGTCTTCAGTTGTCACAACAGCATATGCCAGTTCCTTATTCCAAATGCTAGTATTGGGGCATGAATGAACTCCTCATACCAAAATATCTGTAGTTGTTATGGACCCCAACTCCTCCAATCCTCAGCTCTTAGGTCAGGGAAGCTGATCCAAAATGTACAGCTATTCTTTTTTTGTATCTGCATATGCCTAGAACGTAAAGGGAAGGCATATCTTCCTGCAATAACATCCACTGTCTGCCCCCCCTCCATTATTACAACTCCAGGGTGCCCACCAATTACACTGTGGCTTTGATTGCTTGCATTAAATCTCCAGAGTGAAATACTGTCATTAAACTGGACAGGCCATTGCGCCGTTTCCCTCCAAATTGAAGCCCAGATTAATTGTGGTGCTGGCAAGCTCTCAAAACAGTTTAGGAAGAAGAAGCTAACCATTAACACAGTGGAGCCACGCTTATTGCACCAGCCTTGATGCGGCCTCTTTCTTTGATCAGCTCACTCTCTCTCAGCAGGCCCCAAAATAGCCCCAGGGTACAAGAGTGCTTCCATTGCAATCATGTTAATTTTGCTTTTAGTTTGTCTTTAGCGGTTGGAGATTAATGAATAAAAGTGGTGTTTAAATTTACAACCAGGCCTGTTCTGATGGCTCAGTGGTATCATCGCCCCTGGTTTTTTTGACTTTGATTATCTGAGCCAGTCATCTACAAAAAGGAAAAAATAAAGAAATCCATCTTCTGTCTAGAGCAAGGAAACAAGAAATCTAATGGGGAGCAGGGAAAAAAACAGGTGGCATAAAGATGATCCCTTGAGTTGGCTTGGTACTCTACAGTTTGCTAAGTGTACAAAGAACAAATGATTTACCATAGTTCATCTTCTGAATTGAAATACTGCATGAACTGGTTGATTGTACACATGGA